CTAAGGGATCAAAGCCAGGCAGCATGCAGGATTCGCTGAATAAGGGGCTGAACACATTTATATGATCCTACTTTGCCAGGACAAGTTGTGAGGCAGGATTATTTTTGATGTATTGAAATAAATTATGGTGCACGATTCAGCAAAAAACTACATAGTTAACTGTAAACTAAAAGCAATAAAATATATTATACCTCAAATTCAAATTGTCCTATAAAAGAACAGCATTCGTAACACGTGACAATGTGTTTTTTTACGGTATTTCACTCAAATTCATGATTTCGCAATGCAGCGTGAGATCCACTGTGGTGGATATTATAGTATCTCACGCTCACACACGACGAAAGGATACCACGCACGCTCTTAAAGAACATGGCATTCGCGAGCTGTTGTTTGTAATTTCGTACAGGCGCGTACATGCAGATTTATTGATTTACTGTAACCAAAAATTTTTAAGACGTATGTTACCTTCAATAATCCAAAGAATACATGCTCAAATATTTTAAAGAGAAAACGTCAAAACACAGGTATACATAAGAAATTAAAATTTTTTATCGCTTTATAGTTAATATTCAGCAAGTTTTAAAGTTTATTCTGAACTTATTATAGTGCTGTCTTTTACCTTCGGTATAATATATCATTTATAGACCCTTGGGGGATTCGCCGAAACATTACCCTCAGTGATGATATTTCAAATATTAAATAAATATCATCACTTCGGGTAATATTTCGCCGAATCCCTCTCGCTTCGGGTCTATAAATGATAAATAAACTATATGCTAAAGAAAACCTTAACAATTTAAAATAATAGATAATCAGTCTGTAAGCGTCAGTGCATAGTTTTAAATGTTTCTTTATTGGATTGCGAGGCTTCCGAATGTGGTGATTAATATATCTCCAATGTTCATCGCGGAGAATTGACATTATTGACATTATCTTACGTGCATGGGATAATAGCGTGAGGTGGTTGGAAATACGTACGGCTGCTTTTTCTGGACGCATGTTGGAACACAATGAAAGTACTAAACATTACGTAGTCCACTGTGAAGTTGTCCTTCACGGAGGCCATGATCTGACCATCATTGACACAATCACTAGGTCTGCAAGAGAACTTTCAATAAAATCGCCAAGTTTTAATTAATTAACGTTACAAATGAACATTGTACGCGTTTTCCATGTACGCGTTTTCCATGTACGCGTTTTCCATGTACGCGTTTTCCATGTACGCGTTTTCCATGTACGCGTTTTCCATGTACGCGTTTTCCATGTACGCGTTTTCCATGTACGCGTTTTCCATGTACGCGTTTTCCATGTACGCGTTTTCCATGTACGTGTGTACGTGTACGCGTGTACGTGTACGCGTGTACTTGCACGCGTTTTCCAGACAACCAATAATTGTAAAGCGAAGCAAACAACAGCTATAAAATATTTAAAAGCGAGTAAATAAAACGACAATGTTAAAATATACTTGCCGAAACCTATTTATAGTACCGGAGCGTACCGGATTGCCTGATTACACTTGGTTTTATCCGGTACAGCACGTATCGGATTACTTTTCATATCACCTCCAAAGCGAAGTGATTTTCGCGCCGCGGCACGTACCGGATTACAGTGGCGTAGTGTAAACAAGAGGCCAATCCGGTACAGAAATCGCGTCGCTTCGATGCAATCCGGTATAGTGTAATCGGGGCCTTAGTGAGTGACTTTACAATATGAAAGATAGGCTAAAGTAACCTAAGACAATGTAGTTTATGTAGAACAGGATAAATTATCACTGTATATATCCAGTCCGAGACAAGCGTGATTGTGCTAATAAATCGCTCATGCATAAGTTAACAATCCTCCGTATTTAAAAGTCTCCACTTTCAAAGCCATTTTCGAGAAGCCCCGATGTGGCATGTTACGGACGAAGGCATCTATATATGATCTATTTTCCATCATGTTAGTGTAGACGATCGGAGAAAAATACAAAATTGATTAGTGAGGACGGCTCCTGATTCCTGAACAAAGTATGAACTCAATATATCCTACCTACGAAATCGATTAGTGAGGACGGCTCCTGATTCCTGAACAAAATATGAACTCAATATATCCTACCTTCGAAGACGATGTAATTGTTGTTTCGTTGCTCGCATTAGAAGCATTAGAAGATATGGTTTTCATGATACTTGGTGAAGATGTACTTTGACCTGCTAACGCCGGCATGCACAGTAAAACTGCTATCAACAATTGACGTATATCATAACTACGGCCAAAAAGCATCATTGCAAGTTCACTTTAGCTCGAATCATTATAACCAATGTTCAAGTTCCTTCTTGCTTTATATATAGATACGGACTGTGACGTGTTTGAAATTAACCAATAGGCTAAGACTAAGTATTGATAGTATCAGTTAAATATTCTCCGCAAAAAGCCGCTCCAATATATTATAATGCCATGGTGCATGTGCCTATTGTCGTGATTTAATCGATATGAAACTGGTCAGTTTTCGTATCTCTGAGGATGGTTCTGAAATAGAATTGAAACACTGCGCGTCCTCTAAGACCAAGGCAAGCGTTATTTCGTGCACTTTAATTGGATCAGACTCGCTATACCAATCCCCGTTAACGCGACAGCTCAACTGCCCAATGGGTAGAGCGGCGGTCTAGAAAAATATAAGTATATTTGTTTTTTTGAACGGTCAGGTTTATAGTGGCAATAATAAGAAACGAAGGGCCTTCGCTCGAAACGTCGAAGGTCTCCTTGTATTTTTCAGAGAGTTGTATCCCCAACAATTCTGTTTTCTGGCATTCTGCCATTCATCTTGATTCTTGGTTCCCAAACTCACTATAGAGTATAGTAATAATTCATACGGTAATACTTACAGACTGGGATTCCTTTTCGGTTCCATTCGTCTGGGAACCTGAACAATTCCCGTTTGTGAAGTTCCCCAAAACAGTCGTCATTGTGGAATTACAATTTCTGAGTGAGTTTTTCAAGCCTTTATACTCCCAAGGTTGGCTTGAAATAGACAGACATGTCAAGATCACTAGCATGGATCGGTAAAAAGAACAGCCCAGCTTTGCCTTGAAAAACATTCGGTACCAAGACTCTGTGCGTGTGTTAGGAAGGCTGTTTATCGGCTGTCAGTTTATTGTAAACCGTTTGAAATATGAACTACCACGATTCGTTAGTAATTATTCTTTGACTTTGTGCCGGATATTTATACTTTAAACAGCTCTGCAGCTGAATTATTAATGCACAAAGCGAAATGATTTGTACGTGCGTGTGCTAACTGAAAGCTACACCTCTGAGGATCATGCTTCCGTCATGCAATATTATTGCGTTGACCGTTGACGTCCCAATTCATATTTAGCGTGGAAAGTATACAGGCACGCGGGTTGACATTTTCTGGAATTTGTTCTGTATTCAATGCTGCAGTAACAGTTATATACAAATATACCGTGATAAAATTCAAATTCCGCACCTTTTATGTGTTAAAATGCAGTGAATCTAACAAAAATGCAGCCTTTCGCTTTGCTACAAATTCTCATTTAAAACAAAGAAAACTAAATTTTGTCGCCATATTTGACAACAATGCTGTGACTAAAAATGAAATCAGATTATGCGGTCAATATTTTAAAATATGTTAAACTTTTATCATTCGTCGTCAAAGATTTTATTTTATACGTATAGCCATGTGGCTATGCATGGATGCCCCATAAACATATATAATATGGATTATATAATTGCTATATATGCTGTTGATCTATTATTTAGTATTTACTATCATGTTTTAAAAGACTTAAAAATATCTGCCTTCGATCGAAACGTAGGAACTTTCTTCTTGTTGTTCAAGTATAGTCCCATCACACACACAAGCCCTCAAATTAAAACCACAAACGGTCAAAGCTCTTTCAGTGGTCAAACATACTTGCATCCAAGTATACAAACACATGCATCAAACAACAATTTCCAATATTGGCAATAATTTTTCTTTCAAATATTATGGTTTTGGCCTGTTTGGGCTACGTTTTCTCTGTACCTGATAGCTTTCTGTAGCGACGTGAAAAAACACGTATCCATACCGTTTAGGAACGCTATTTTCAGAGGAATTATTGCAACGGAGAGATGTTGTTTCGCTCAGCTTCTGAAAGTTGTACATTCCGTATCGGATAGGACTTAGAGTCTTAGGTGCTTTTTCGCGCCGTTACGGAAATCTATCCGGTATAGTTGAAACGTAGCCTAAGTTGCTAAAATACTAGCGATTATTTGTTTACGTATAATATATTATGCACGTTGGCCAGTTTTCAAATAGTGCAAATATCGCTCGACAAACAACATCATTAAGTGCCTTGTTAGACAAAGTGGGCAGTGGCTAATTTTGAAGTGAAAGATAAAACGCGATAAACTGACAGTTAATTAATAGAAGACGGTCTGCTCTTCAACAGCGGGCGAAACGAAGGCGCTTTGCCCGACTTTCAGGTGGTCCGCCTCGCGGGTCTGCCTGCATGCAGGTTAGAGTTGCGTAGCCACAATCTGAATTTCAATATCTATTTCAGCATTGCTGTGGAAGTGCGATAGAAGACGTCTTGAACAATTGTGAAATTCATACATGGAGGTACGATTTTTCTTTATTCTATATAGAGATATAAGGTATACAATACCACATATATGTTTGACTATTTTTGTTTATGTTATTTCCCAAGCCACTTCAGTGGGTCCTCGGAAAGATTTATGTATATATATTGTGATTAGAATTAGCGCAAAATATCTTGGCTGATAGACAGCGGCAAGCCGAAGATGCGTAACGATATTTTTGCTGCGACGGTGGCGCAACGGTTGAATATTGCATTGCCATCGCACAAGGTGGCTACACCTGTCTCTTTTGTGGCAATTCATGATTTATGACTCATTTATAATTCATTTCATCAGATGGTCAAGAAACCTTGAACACACCCACTGACGACTTTACCGCCATTGCATTGCGATCGCCAGAAAATATTGCCCATGTATCGGTAGCTTGAATCAAATGATTGTAATGTTGCTGTTCTGCAGAATTGCGCTAAATTTGTGCACCAATATGGCGGCCAAACTTTTAAAATACTGCGGTTGTGCAAATGCATATTGAAGAGATCAAAATTAGAATTTTTAATTGCTCATTAGGGCACTGCGTTGGCCCGTTAGACCGGGCTATAGCTCACTTTGCCGGGCCAAGTTGTTATTTGTTTCACATGAGGCGGGCTAGCCTGGCAAGCGCTATAGCGTTTTTAGAGTAGGAATGCTGTTACTAACTGAAAAAAAGACCTTGCGCAAAAAAATTTTTTCATCGGAAACAAAATTTAATCAGACAGAGTCAAAATATGGACTGTCTTACACAAGCTATCAAAGTTTCAAGAAATTTGGTGCACACGTAGGCCAACGCGAGATCTTCAAAACCTGGACCGGCTTGATTTTCTCCCATTTTGTTAGTTCAAGCGCGATTTCTTTGCATGATTTCAAATTAATTTTATGCATGCTCGGGCGTTTGCATAAATTACAGTACGAAATTCACAAGCCAATTCTCAAAGGTCCTACAGCTATTAAGGCCTGTTTTATACGTCGAATTTTGGTCGCGTCGAATGCAATTCAAACAATAGATAATGAAGCTTAATGAGGTTTATAATCTCATTTATATCTATAGGCAATTCCAGCTTTTAGTTTATGCCTGCAGGGGATTAGAGATTTTGAAGCGATATATCCACGGCATGTGTTAACCTATATTTCAGTATTGCATTAGCAGGTTACCCGTAAAGGAGCAACTAGCTCTGTGGGTTAAACCCGTCTTGTGACAAAGATTGTAAAATAAATCAAATGGGAAGTAAGGTATCATATTGCTGATTATGCTGAAAAATTTCAATAAAAACTGCCGAAACAACCGAAATATTTCAATATTTACAAGTATAAGCTATCACTCCATGTTTACACGGCCACCATTTTTATTTTTTCAGCATAATCAGCAATATGATACCTTACTTCCCATCGTCCCCTGCACGCATAAACTAAAAGCTGGAATTGCCTATTGTCTTAATGACATTCGACGCGACCGAAATTCGACGTATAAAACAGGGCTAACAGCGTTTATTTACAAAATTATTGGCATGCAGTGTTTATTTACAAACAAAATCAATCTTTAACGTGCCCTCCTATGTTGAAGATTCATTTTGTTTGTAAATAAACACTGCATGTAAATAATAATTTTGTGAAAGGACCTTTGGGAATTGGCTGGCGAATTTCGTACTGTAATTTATGCAAACATCCGAGCATGCATAAAATTAATTTGAAATGCATGAGCAAAGAAATCGAGTTTGAACTAACAAAATGGGAGAAAATCAAGTCCAGGTTTTGAAGATCTCGCGTTGGCGGCCTACGCGTGGACCAAATTTCTTGAAACTTTGATAGCTTGTGTAAGACAGTCCATATTTTGACTCTGTCTGATTAAATTTTGTTTCCGATGGAAAATTTTTTTGCGCAAGGTCTTTTTTAGTAACAGCTTTCCTACTCTAAAAACGTTAGCATTTTAAATAATTTTAGTGCTAGATATACCAGAGAACTCTGGGGAACGAATGGTTTAATTCTCAATGCTCCAATGCCTGAACCGGATCGATCTTTCTTGCATATTTCTTCAATATTGATATCAAAGGTCAACCTGTCATCAAGATCAACTCCTAAACATTTATTCGAGACAACAGATGAAACTACGTTATTGTTCATGATAATGCTGTTGTACAAGTCACCAACTTTGTTGGTCAAATTTTGTTTGGATCCTGTGACAATAAGCTTAGCCTTAGAAGGATGGGATTGGAGTTTATATACATTTAACCAATCTGTGACATTCTCTAAATCAGAGTTAATATAATGAGCCAGCTTAACAGAGTCGTGCGAAGAGGCGAAAATTTGGGTATCATCTGCATATTGTCTTTAGACAACACCCTGTCTATATGTTTATTAATATTTAAAGACTAAGCTATATTCTAATATTGACTATACTTGATCTGTGGATACTTTAAATTCAGAATCATCTCAGTCTGAACATGTCTATTGGTCAGCAGTGGTCGTTTTGAAATATAGCATGTAGCCTATTGTGATTTTATAACACTAAAATGCAACAAGTATAATCTAAAGTAAAAGTAAAAGCTTTGCAGTAATAAATTTACGTGGTGTTTCCACAAACAAAACTATTATAAGTATAACAAGCACATCGGCTGATCAGTGTTGGGAGGAAATAGGTAGCTCTTTCAAGTCAGGGTGCCTTTCACTTTTTTCAGACATAGTCGACTCTCTTTCTCTTTGACTTTTCAAGGAGAACGTATTTGTTAACTCTGACGACCTGTTCTGCGTTTATCTCCTCGGAGAACGACTCCTGGTTTTACCAACGAAAGCGAGCAAAGTTTGCCTGTAATCGGGTAGACGAAGGGCATATAGAATTGGGTTAGCCGCGAAATTTAGCATGGCAATTGGTGTGTAGCAATATGAGAGGTAAACTAATACTTTATCTTGATCAAAGTTTCCCAGTCTTGCCAATAACTCTAGTAGTTTCAGTAAGAAATAAGGAAAGACAGTGAGGAAGAGAATCAGTGTAAGAATGATCACAGTCTTTGCCATATTCTTGTGCTTGGCATTTTGAGGATTTCTAGTGCTTCGTCCACTTCGAATTATCTCGACCGCAACTTGGATATTCAAAACTATTTGAACGACAAGTGCGATTAGTAGGACGCCTACACGAGCTGTCCAAATTTTTAAACCCATCGTTTCTGGCAAATGGAAACGGTAGGTGATCTGAGTGAAACCCAATAAAAATGCGAAGAGCCAAACTGCTATGCCAACCAATACGATCTTCAGAGTGGTGAACCAATAGCGACCTTTGAGCGGAAATTTTGTGATTACGAAAATTTGTACAGAGAGAATGTCAACCATAGGAAGCGGAAGTACCAAAACCCCAGCAAAAGATCGTGATGGGATAGACATAGTATAACTCGCTCATGTTTTGGATGAAAAACGGCTGACCCAATAAAAAGAAACATGACATGCATGAAATTAAGTCGGCAATTGCCAGGTTGAGAATAGTTACCCATGGGCCTTTGCGAAGTATTTTCAAAGGATCGATAGCCATGGCAATGATTACAACAAAGTTGAGCAGTGTACCCGTTGCTACCACAGACATAACGACGATAACGATGTTTCTTATGTCTTCTTTGCTAAGGAAATACGATGCCTGTAAGAAAATGATAATATAAGAAATGAAGGTTTAGTCATTTTCTATATTTTGTCCTGATTTTAACTTCGATTTTCTCGGCTAAAACGAACCATATCGCCAAAATAGTTGGTAAACTTGATCAGTTAGACGCATTTGTACTGTAGATAACACATCGCGTCCGATGTGTACGATATAAGTTTATATCCATGTCTTTAAAGTGGCTCCCTACTGTTTTTGGCAAGAATAAAACTTTCGATTTAGCTAGGTAATTTACCAGTGTGGGTAGTAATATAACCACTCAGCACAGCATTCATTTAAAACATATATAGTATCTGAGTTATAGAAAATACTATACCTGAAGAGTGTAAAATATTTAGCAAAAATGACGTCACTGCCCTTGCTATTGCAACAATCACGTTTAAATATAGCCGATTTTTTGGCTTTAAATAACAACGGTGTATTGTACGGGAAGCCAATGAACATTTTAACAAGGGGGCTTAGCACCCTAACCCTCCCTTGTACATGCACTTCTATATGCCCTGCTCTTAAGCACAGTTTATCGATGGAGATTCTTTCCCACTGGGTATGTCGTACAACAACTATTAATATATTTATTAATTATTAATGAACATTGACCAAATATACTTCATAACAGTGTACACTCGACATTTCAAATTGATACACATAGAGGATAGCAGACAAAGAGCCCCATAGTAGGCGCATTCTTTTTCGTTGTCCGGTTTAACAGGTACAATCTGAAAAACACCGTGGTTAAAACTTTCCTGGTTGATCTAAAGTTAACCCTTTTTCCGGTAACTTAATGTTCCTGGTTAAACATTTCCTGGTTATTTTGATCATTATCGTGGATACTTTAACCAGGATCCCTGGTTAATTTAACCAGGCTATATGGTGGAATTAACCAGATTTTTAACCAAGAATTCCTGATGAATAATCCACCTGACATAATCTGGTTAGTTCAACCACATAGCCTGGTCAAATTAATTAACCGGGAAGCCTGATTAAATTAATCAGGACTATGATCAAGTTAACCAGGACTGTGGAAAAAATGGTGATTCCTTTTGGATGAAACAGGCTGTAGTGGCAACCTTTTGGGGTATAACTAAAAGCCAATACAAATATACTCTACATTAAACTCATGTACAATATTAATTTTCCTGTATACTTATATAATTGTTATTGATGTTATTAAAGGTTTTACATGCACCGCCATATACATTTTCAACAAAAACTGGCTTATTGCTTTCTCCGCAGTCTCTTGGCACATATCAGTCGTAAATTCAGTCCGAGATTTTCTGTGGATTCTGCCGTCCAAACTATTTTACTAGCACTTAGAACATGATACTTTTGTCTTAGGTTGAATCTAAAATCTTCGTTGGTAATAGGGTTGGTTAGTGAGTAACTTTACAATATGAAAGATAGGTTAAACCTAAGACAGTGTAGAGCAGGATAAATTATCATTATATCCAGTCCGAGACAAGCGTAATTGTGCTAATAAATCGCTCATACATAACACTCCGTATTTAAAAGTCTCCACTTTCAAAGCCATTTTCGAAAACCCATTTTTACGGACGAAGGCATCTACTTTCCATCGTGTTAGTGTAGACGAGCGGAAAAAACCATAACTCATAAGTATGGGTTAGTGAGGACGGCTCCTGAACAAAATATGAACTATATATCCTACCTTCGAAGACGATGTTGTTTCGTTGCTCGCATTAGAAGCATTAGAAGATGCAGTTGTCATGACACTTGGTGAAGATGTACTTTGACCTGCTAACGCCGGCATGCACAGTAAAACTGCTATCAACAATTGACATATCTCGTGTCTACGGCCAAAAAGCATCATTGCAAGTTCACTTTAGCTCGAAGTATAACCAATGTTCAAGTTCCTTTTTGCAGTGTGTGGTTGAATTACAAAAATGCTATGTCTATATATAGATACGGACTGTGACGTGTTACGGAAAGTTATCCGGTATAGTGGAAACGTTGCCTAAAATGCACGTTGGCCAGTTTTCAAATAGTGTAAATAGCGCTCGACAAACAACGTTAAGTGCCTTGTTAGACAAAGTGGCTAATTTTGAAGTGAAAGATAAAACGCGATAAACCATAGTTAATAATAGAAGACGGTCTACACTTGAACAGCGGGCGAGACGAAGGTGGTCCGCCTCGCGGGTCTGCCTGCATGCAGGCTAGAGTTGGGTAGCCACAATATATCTGAATTTCAATATCTGTTTCAGCATTGCTGTGGAATTGCGGTGGAAGACGTCATGACAAATTGTGAAATTCATGCATGGAGGTACGATTTTACTCTTTATTCTACATAGAGATACAAGATATACAATATCACATATATGTTAGACTATTTTTGTTTATGTTATTTCCCAAGCCACTTCAGTGTGTCCTCGGAAAAATTTATGAATATCTATTGTGACTAATTAAAATTAGCGCAAAATGTCTTGGCTGATAGACAGCGGCAAGCCGAAGATGCGTAACGATATTTTTGCTGCGATGGTGGCGCAACGGTTGAATATTGCATTGCCGTCGCAAAGGTGGCTACACCTGCCTCTTTTGTGGCAATGCATGATTTATGACTCATTTATAATTCATTTCATCAGATGGTCAAGAAACTTTGACCTCACCAACTGACCACACCTCCTAATTCTCGGCCATCGTCGCTCAAATTCTCAAAATGAAATGGTTTCAAATTTCGGCAACGATTGCAGGAAGGTTCGCGTTGCTGCCGCAAAGTATGATATACACGAACAATTTCTCTGTCGCAACCGAGCAATGTCACGATTTTACCGCCATTGCATTGCGATCGCCAGCCAAATATTGCCCATGTATCGGTAGCTTGAGTCAAATGATCGTAATGTTGCTGTTTTATTATTGTTATTATTATTATTATTATTATTATTATTATTGATCTTTAAACACGGTAACTTTTCTCATAGGTGATTTTGACATTTCACATAGGTGATAAGGGCCGTGCGGAATTGAAATACATACATAATTATAAGAAGAGAATAAACTTATATTACTGATAAACAAAATTATACTTATTTACAATATTTGAATATAAAAACAATTAAGGTTTATATGCTTGTGTAGATGTATGATTTATATGATGGTGTAGATTAATAGCTTATGGACAATTTTTAAACTTCTTGACTCTCCCAAAAGCTTCTAAAATATTGGAAACAATTCCCAAAGAAATGAAATCATTGCCATTTTTTAGTTTTGAAAAACCTTATAAATTGCTTCTTCTTAATAGTCAACTATAATATGAGGCATTCTAAATAAACTCATTACTCATATAATAGATGAATATTAATGATGGACCCTGTATATTAACATACAATTAGACTATTATACATTTTATAAAATACAGTTAGAAATTCCTTAACATAATTTGTTTCTACATTAGTTGTGCCGTTCACTTTTCTATTAATTTCATAATGGTAGTGGCCAACTCAAAAGCGTTTGCTCCTTTGGCCACTACGCACTCTTCGTTTGTAACATAAATAAATTTTTTTTATAATTTAATGTAAATATATGTATGGTATATTAATAATGAATATCTTTGTAAGCTAGAAATAAGTGCAAATAAATTGATTCTGATTCTCTTAGGATTTTCAACAAGTTTATTGGGATGTTGTTCCAATACGTTGCTCCTTTGTGCGAAAAGCTATTTTTCAAGAGTTTTTGGTTTAGGTTGAAACAGCTTTAAATTACTATTGCGCAGTTCGTACCACTGTTTTTACAAGTGTGGAATAATTGTGTTATATATTGTAGAAGCATTAATTGCTGTTTAGAATTGCGCTAAATTTTTTTCACCAATATGGCGGCCAAACGTTCAAAATACTGTTCATGCAAATGCTGTTCAAGGGTCCTTTCCAATGGAAAGGTGTTCTCAAGAGATCAAAATTAGAATTTTGAATTGCTCATTGGAAAAGTGCTTAGAGGAGGAAAGGAAGCGACCACTTTGGAAATTTGTTTGACTTCTAATTTAAAAGTTTTATTAAGCCTAAATTGGTATCTGTGCAAAAAGCCATGTGCAAAAATGTCATTAACTTTGTGATAATATCAATTTTGTGTCATACTTTGGGTGTCAAATATTGCAATCATTCCAATGATTCTATATCGATAGATAGAACATGTTTATGAAATATCTTGATAAAAAGTCCAGATGAAATTTTGTATTCTCACTGTAAGTTGTTAAGTCACGAAACAATTAATGCGCGCGTAACAATTTGTTTTAAACCAAATCCGTAGCTACTCTACTAGTTCATTAATTTTTGAACAAGCACGTTCGGCATGCATGCATGGCGCGGGTAAAACAAACGGGTGCCTTAATGAGCCCAAGCTGAGACCATCTGCAGGTCTTTGCAAGCCAAATATGGTGCTCTATAAAAGTCAGGCTGAACATTCAACATTTCAATGTGCTCAAAAGTGAACAGTAAAACGTTCTGCTAAATACAAAGTTGCTGTCAAAGAAGCGTTCGAGAAGCTGGACTCCTGCAAAAGTCATGAAGAATTTCTTGGTCATCTTGGTTGTGTTATCTACCGTGGCCCTGTGCTTGGCGAAGCCGAAATGGATATGGTTCGATGAGGAAGAGAAGAATGGTGTGGATTTCAACGATGAAGTCTTGACAAGAGAAAAAGGAAAGAATGAGGAGAATCTGTTGAAAGAATGGAAGAAAGCTTATGATCGTTCAGGAAAACAAGCAAAGTCAAAGCCTGTGTGCCGGGGAGGTTACTGTCCCCCATCATGAGCTAACACTATATAACTTTAAACTTCTATATATATTAACATCATACAGTAATAATTATATAAACAATTCATGATAGTGATAATATATGCATGTGTACGTCAAAGATTTCTTTTTTGTGAATGTATTGTTTTTTCAATTTTTCTTTGTTCATTCCCAGGCCAAGTACTGGTGTGAGCGACCTTTTCTATGCGATTCGCTTCAAACTTTGCATTTTTGCCATTATCTTCTCTTCAGTTAAAACAGTCGACGTTTTCACCTACGATAAAGATCTGAAAATGAGTCGCTACTGCACAGAGAAAGGCCATGTTTTGACAATCTGACTCCAACTAATTTGTAAAAGAACAGGAGGTTACACTGTGCAAATACTTTTCAGAATCCGTTTGCTTTATTTATTCTTAATTCAATTAATCTTAATATTTAAAGAGTAATCTATGCTCTAATCTTGACTATATTTGATCTGTGGATAATTCTTTAAATTCAAAATTATCTTCTGAACATGCATGTCTATTGGTCAACAATGGTGGTTTTGAAATATAGCATGTATTGTGATTTTATAACACTACACACAAAATGCAACAAATATAACAAGCATGCCATCATTTCTGGTCACATCGGCTGATTAGCGTTGTGAGGACATAGGTAGCTCTTTCAAGTCAGAGTGCCTTTCACTTTTTTAGCAGACATAGTCACTTTTTTCAGACATAGGACGCGGCTCTTTCTCTTTGACTTTTCAAAGAGAACGTGTTTGTTAACTGTGACGACATGTTCTGCGTTGATCTCCTCCGATAACTACTCCTGCTTTTACCAACGAAAGCGAGCAAAGTTTCCCTGTAGTCGGGTAGACGTAAGGCATACAGAATTGGGTTAGCCGCGAAATTTAGCATGGCAATTGGTTCGTAGCAATATGAGAGGTAACGCAATACTCCGCCTGTTTTACCTTGATCAAAGTGGCCCAGTCTTGCCAAGAACTCTAGTTGTTTCAGTAAGAAATAAGGAAAGGCGGTGAGGAAGAGAACCAGTGTAAGAATGATCACAGTCTTTGCGATATTCTTGTGCTTGGCATTTTGAGGATTTCCAGTGCTTCGTCCACTTCGAATTATCTCGAACGCAACTTGGATATTCAAGACTATTTGAATGACAAGTGCGATTTGTAGTACGCCTATACGAGCTGTCCAAATTTTTAAGTTCGTCGTTTCTGGTAAATAAAAAACGTAGGTGATCTGACTGAAACCCAATAAAAATGCGAAGAGCCAAACTGCTATGTCAACCAATACGATTTTTAGAGTGGTGAACCAATAGCGACTTTTGAGCGGAAATTTTGTGATTGCGAAAATTTGTACAGCGAGAAATGTCAACCATAGGAACGAAGCGGAAGAACCAAAACACCAGCCAAAATAGGTGATGTCATAATATAACAAGCTTTCTTGGATGAAAAACTGCTGACCCGATAAAAAGAAAAACGATATGCATGAAATTATATCGGCAATTGCCAGGTTGAGAATAGTTACCCATGGTCCTTTGCGAAGTATTTTCAGAGGATCGATAGCCATGGCAATGATTACAACAAAGTTGAGCAGTGCACCCGTTGCTACCACAGACATATCGACGATAACGATGTTTCTATACTTTTCTTTGCTAAGGAAATACCATGGCTGTAAGGAATAATATAAGAAATGAATGTTTAATCAATTTCTGTGAATCGGATACACGTTTCGTTCTGATTTCTAACACCGAAACGCCAAAATAGTTGGCAAACTTGATGCATTTGTACTTTAGATAACACATCGCGTCCGATGTGTACGATATCAGTTAAAATCCATGTCTCGTACCCAGGCGCTTTGGTCGATCAAATTAATCCACGCGGCCCACGCAAAGGCCACGCAAGCCATATATAGAACAATACATAGCGCCAATAGCGCCTGGGTCGAGGCAGGTCCATGTCTCTAAAGGTGACTCCCTGCTGTTTTTTGGCAAGAAGAAAATTTTCGATTTAGCTAGGGCGGAATTTTTGAACAATGGTTACTTATCAACATATATAGTATCGGAGTTATAGAAAATATTAATACTAATAATAATATTTAATACTTATATTGCGCAAATTAACATGTTATAGTATATGATCAAATGCGCATAAATTAACATGTTATAGTATTATGATCAAATGCGGACTATGATTAAATTAATCAGGACTATGATTAAATTAATCAGGACTATGATTAAATTAATCAGGACTATGATTAAATTAATCAGGACTGTGATTAAATTAACCAGGACTATGATTAAATTAATTTAACCAGGACTGTGATAAAATTAACCAGGACTGTGATAAAATTAACCAGGACTGTGGTTAAATTAACCTGGAAATTTAAGCAGGAACATTAAGTTACCGCAAACAGGGTCGATTCTAGCTTAACCAGGAAATTTTTAGCCAGGATGTTTTAGAGTATGCAAACCTTTCAAACCTGGGGTTGAACTCAGCCTTGTTAACGGGATTGAAATTTTTTGCGATTACATGGACGATTTCAACCCCGGGGTTGAAATACTACGCGTTCCCGGCGTTGGCTCCATATCCTCCATTTTGTTTTCTTGTAATGAATAACCGCTACCACGCATGCTCGCATAACTCATGAATAACATGAATAATTTCAGACCTGGTTTGGAACCGATGACATTTTTACAAAATTTTCACTAACCCAGGGCCGAGTTCAACCCTCGAGCCGAGTTCAACCCGGGGTTGAACTCGGCCCTGGGTTGAAAATTTTGTCATGTAATCGCGCATTTGATTTTGATAGACTTTTGTATTACAGACAGGGCTGAAATTTCAACCCGGTCAACAGGGCGGAGTTCAACGCCGGGGTTGAAAATTCTCCTTGTATAATCGGCTCCTAAGTAAAGCGAGAAAACCTTGAACAGTCTTGTTTGGGTGGAAATTACAGTAAAGGTATATTTTATATATATACATTCAATTTAGTCGTAAACGGTTGTGGTTCACCCCTATTGTTTTAATTGCTCCCTAGCGTAGCGAGGCAGCTTACTATTCTTGACGTTACATGACGTTCTTGCTTTTTCGTGCCCAGTCCCCGGCCGAGTTATATTGGGGAAACAGTACTGAATCCATGTCATTCGGTCGGATGTGAAAATTTTTCTGAAATTGTCTTCAGTTCGAGCATTCGACGACTCTTTGTTTTTATTCGATTTGGATTCGATTTTACTTTATTTTGTATTGCCGCTCGCATGATTCTTCTCAGGATTTCAGTTTAGTACGAGCTTATTTACATTCAGTATGTTGGATTTTTAAGGATAGCTTTATTTCTTTCTGGTGATATACATGAAGGCATTTATATTTAGATTTGCTGTTTAGTGTTCAAAATGATAGAGGTATTGAAACCCTGAATATGATTTCTGAATTTGCAGTTCTAATAGCCGCAAGGTGTTTGTTATTCAAATTACACTTTTCGGTCTTTTCCGCTGCATCCTGAACAGGCGTATTAGCAATTTCGTACCCAGAGTATGCCCGTTCGCATGTTAGGTCATGCCCAGCACCTAACCTGCGAACGGGCATACTCTGGGCTGTTTACATGATGGAAGGTGGGATGATTTTGATGTATTGAAATAAGTCACCAGGCTAAACGAAAGTTCAAAAGCTGGTTAATTTAACCGAACTCAAATGTAGAGAAGATCAGATAGTTCAAGAAGATTCTTATAGTTTTTTGAACAACCTTTCGTGACAGTTAACTATAATCCATCTCTATCATGAATCATGCATCGTGACTTATTTCAATATATCGAAATCATCCCGCCTCATATCTCGTCCCGGCAAAGCCGGATCATATAAACTGCCTCTTAATCCTTATTCAGCAAATTGCGCATGCTCCCTGCCTTTGATCCCTTGGGGGTGAGGTAGCACTTTCCTTGCGATAGTAACTTCTAGTATATGTTTAAAATACTCATTAAACATTCGTAAACCTTGTGGCAAATCGGCCATAATATGTCACGTGGAGTGACTTTATATCTGATAAAACTTATCTTCATTAGTATTCGTTATATAATTGTTCATCCTAATTAGTATTCTTTTGTAGTCGTATTTTAAGCTATTCAAAACACTCGAACTCGCGTTTTATCATATCTAAAACGATCGGCTGCGTCTCGCGTTTTAAATATGATAAAACACTCCTTCTCGTGTTTTAAATACTACATAATGATAATATAATGCATGTATTGTTTGACGCCCACAAAAAGCCAGTACAAAGAGGGTGGGAAAGAGTATTTTCGAGACCCGTTTTTAATAAAAACTGGCCTTATTGCATTGTGAAAACAGTCTGAATTCTGCCTCCTCCGCAGGCACCTTGGCACATATCAGTCGTAAATATGGTTCAGGGGAGGCAGATCTTAATCGCATACGTGACGGAAAACCGCAGATAACTGAATTAGTCTACACACATCTGTTCCTGTTTGAATAAGATTTTACCTTTGTCTTAGGTTGAATCTAAAATCTTCGTTAGTAATATAGGGTTGGTTAGTGAGTAACTTTACAATATGAAAGATAGGTTAAACCTAATTAGACAGTGTACTGTGTATAGAGCAGGATAAATGATCACTGTGTTCAGTCCGAGCGTGATTGTGCTAATAAATCGCTCATGGGAGTATTTCTGTATTTAAAAGTACCACTTTCAAAGCCATTTTCGATCGAGAAGCCCATTTTTACGGGCGAAAGCATCTATAAATGATCTATTTTCCATCATGTTAGTGAATAAAACGATCGGAGAAAACCATGCATGACTACAAAATATGACTACTACAGTATATATCCTACCTTCGAAGTCGATGTTGTTTCGTTGCTCGCATTAGAAGCATTAGAACTAGATTCTAAGACACGGTTTTCATGATACTTGGTGAAGATGAACTTCCACCTGCTAACGCCGGCATGCACAGTAATACTACAATCAACAATTGACATATCTCGTGTCTACAGCCAAAAAGCATCATTGCAAGTTCACTTTGGCTCGAAGCCGGTATAACCAATGTTCAAGTTCCTTTTTGCAGTGTGCGGGTTGAATTATAAAAATACTATGTTTATATATAGATACGGACTGTGACGTGTTTTGGATTAACATGTTAGGCTAAGTATTCATGATAGTATCAGTTAAATATTCTCCGCAAAAACCCGCTCCAATATATTATAATGCCATGGTGCATGTGCCTATTGTCGTGAGGTTTGTGGTGCCAATAATGAGCCGGAAACGAAGGGCCTTCGCTCGAAACGTCGAAGGTCTCCTTGTATTTTTCACATTGAGCTGTATCCCTTTCAATTCTGTTTTCTGCCTTTCATCTTGGTTCCCAAACTCACTATAGAGTATAGTAATAAAATTCGTACGGTAATACTTACAGACTGGGATTCCTTTTCGGTTCCATTTGTCATGCCGTTCGTGGTGGCATTCGTCTGGGAACCTGAACAATTCCCGTTTGTGAAGTTCCCCAAAACAGTTCCCCAAGACAAACATGTTAGGATCACTAGCATGGATCGGTAAAAAGAACAACCCAGACCCGGCTTTGCTATGAAAAACATTATTGTACCAAGACTCTGTGCGTGTGTTAGGAAGGCTGACTATCGTCTGCCAGTTTATTGTAAACCGTTTGTAATATGAACTACCACTATTCATTATTTTTTGTGCCGGATATTTGTACTTTAAACAGCTCTGCAACTGAATTATTAATGCACAAAGGCTAAAAACGAAAGGGTTTGTGACGTGCGTGTGTCAACTGAAAGCTACATTATTAAGGCTGTTTGTCGTCTGCCAGTTTACTGTAAACCGTTTGTAATATGAACTGCGACTATTCATTATTCTTTGTGCCGGATACTTGTACTTTAAACAACTCTGCAACTGAATTATTAATGCACAAAGGCTAAAAGCGAAACGGTTTGTACGTGCGTGTGTTAACTGAAAGCGCCTCTGTCTCTGAGGATCATGCTTCCGATGTTTTCACTTCCGTTCTCATTTTGGTACCGGGAATTTTAAAGCGTTAAGTTATCACGACAGATTAAGTATATATAGAACACATTAATCGTCGCCGAAAATGTGCGGTATACTAAACGGCAGCTGAGCTAAAATTCCGACTAAAACATGACTCAGGCGATGCTAATAAACAAATAGTTTACATGCATGTTTATCGTAAACATTATGAAATATCCGATTTATATGAGTTTATCTTACAATTCCCCCGACTTCCAATACAAGGCCGACTTCGGTAGTGGTGACTTCCAATACACTTGTCCTCCTCGTGCTTCTTGCAAGCAGAGAGCATGCGCATGACATGTTGTTAGTATCGGTATTGGTATCGGAAGTCGAACTTAAACTCTCTATTATTGCGTTGACCGTTGACGTTTCAATTCATATTTAGCGTGGACAAGCACGGGCGTGAACAGTTATATACAAATATACCGTGATAAAATTCAAATTCCGCACCTTTTATGTGTTAAAATGCAGTGTCAGTGAATCTAACAAAATATGCAGCCTTTGTCTTTGCTACAAATTCTCATATAAAACAAAGAAAACTAAATTTTGTCGCCATATTTGACTGTAAATGGAAAAGTAATGGCAACTAAAAATGAAATCAGATTATGCGGTCAACATTTTAAAATATGTTAACTTTTATCATTCGTCATCAAAGATTATATATTAGGCGTATAGCCATGCACGCATGGCCCATGCCATGTATTATATAATTGCCGCTGATCTATTATTTAGTATTTACTATGTTTTAAAAAAATTATTATGTTTTAAAAGACTTAAAAGTAGCCTACCTGCCTTCGATGGAAACGTCGAAGTTTCTTGTTGTTGTTCAAGTATAGTTCCATCACACATGATACAAGCCCTCAAATTAAAACCACAAAGCTCTTTGAATTGGTCAAACATACTTGCGTCCAAGTATACAAACCCATGCATCCAATAACAGGCAACAATTTTCCAATAATGTTTCTTTCAAAAATTATGCTTTTGGGCTACGTTTACTCTATAACGGATAGCTTTCCGTAGCGACGTGAAAAAACAGCTATCCATACTATTTGGGAACGCTATTTTCAGAGGAATTATTGCAACGGAGAGATGTTGTTTCGCTCAGCTTCTGAAAGTTGTACATTCCGTATCGGATAGGACTTACGCCCGTAATCTAAAAGCACACTCACACTCAATGAGTGGACGTTCAATCTGAGTTTCTCTTGAGTGTTAATGCTGTTTTTGAATAGCTGGAGGGCTAGTCTCATACCTTACTCGTGACTACTCACCCTTCATTCAGCTATTCGAAAACAGCATTGACACTCAAGAGAAGCTCAGATTGAACCTCCACTCAACGGGCGTTAGAGTCTTAGGTGCTTTTTCGCGCCGTTACGGAGAGCTATCCGGTATAGTGGAAACGTAGCCTAAAATACTAGGGATTCGTTTACGTATAATATATTATGCACGTTGGCCAGTTTTCAAATAGTGCCAATATCGCTCGACAAACAACATTGAGTGCCTTGTTAGACAAAGTGGGCAGTGGCTATTACCTAATTTTGAAGTGAAAGATAAAACGCGATAAACCACAGTTAAGAGAAGACGGTCTACACCTGAACAGCGGGCGAGACGAAGAACGCTTTGCCCGACTTTCAGGTGGTCCGCCTCGCGGGTCTGCCTGCATGCAGGTTAGAGTTGGGTAGCCACAATCTGAATTTCAATATCTATTTCAGCATTGCTGTGGAAGTGCGATAGAAGACGTCTTGAACAATTGTGAAATTCATACATGGAGGTACGATTTTACTCTTTATTCTATATAGAGATATAAGGTATACAATACCACATATATGTTAGACTATTTTTGTTTATGTTATTTCCCCAGCCACTTCAGTGGGTCCTCGGAAAAATTTAGCTATATCTATTGTGACTAATTAGAATTAGCGCAAAATATCTTGGCTGATAGACAGCGGCAAGCCGAAGATTCGTAACGATATTTTTGCTGCGGGTGGCGCAACGGTTGAATATTGCATTGCCGTCGTACAATGTGGCTACACCTGTCTCTTTTGTGGCAATGCATGATTTATGACACATTTATAATTCATTTCATCAGATGGTCAAGAAACCTTGACCTCACTCACTGACAATTTTACTGCTATTGCATTGCGATCGACAGAAAATATTGTCCATGTATCGGTAGCTTGAACTAAACAAATGATTGTAATGTTGCTGTTCTGCAGAATTGCGCTAAATTTGTGCACCAATATGGCGGCCAAACTTTTAAAATACTGCGGTTGTACAAATGTATATTGAAGGGTCCTCAAGAGATCAAAATTAGAATTTTGAATTGCTCATTAGGGCAACGTTGGCCCGTTAGACTGGGCTATAGCTCGCTTTGCTGGGCCAAGTTGTTATTTGTTTCACATGAGGCGGGCTAGCCCGGCAAAGCGCTATAGAAATTCACGCGCGATTTTTGGGCAGGAATGCGATATTTGTTTTTATTTTGAAAAATGGAAACTGCTTCAGATGTTTTAATATTATTGATTTCTTATATACTTGTTTCGAATTCTTAGATGCTTTCTAGATAGAATAAAGCATGCTTGTGACACAATTTCCAGCCCGGTTTGTCGGGGTGACCCGCTAAGTGTGTTCATATGAGCTTGGGAAGGCGAGATCTCGCCTCGCTCAAACGGGAGCCCGGCGAACAGGGCCAGCCCGGTTCTCATGTGAATTAAATCGCAAAAACATAAAACAATATACGAGGCGAGATCTCGCCACTTGCGAGTCAGCCCGGTTTCACTGAGCCAGTCCGGCTCATTTGAACAGGCTCTTAGAAAAGTGCTTGGAAGAGCTAATATACACCCGTATCAGAAAAAAAGTACACAGTTGGGAAAAGTTCACTAAAGTCAGATGCGCGCGACATTTGCGAAAACTTTCAGTAAGCCTATGTACTTTAACGTTCTCTGGTACATCTAGCACTAAAATTATTTAAAATGCTAGCGTTTTTAGAGTAGGAATGCTGTTACTAAAAAAAAGACCTTGCGCAAAAAAATTTTCCTTCGGAAACAAAATTTAATCAGACAGAGTCAAAATATGGACTGTCTCGCACAAGCTATCAAACTTTCAAGAAATTTGGTGCACACGTAGGCCAACGCGAGATCTTCAAAACCTGGACCGGCTTGTTTTTCTCCCATTTTGTTAGTTCAAACGCGATTTCTTTGCATGATTTCAGGCAAATTAATTTTATGCATGCTCGGGCGTTTTGCATAAATTACAGTACGAAATTCGCAAGCCAATTCTCAAAGGTCCTAGAATTATTAAGGCTTGTTTTATACGTCGAATTTTGGTCGCGTCGAATGCAATTCAAACAATAGATAATGAAGCTTAATGAGGTTTATAATCTCATTTATATAGCTATTGTCTTAATTAATTCGACGCGACCGAAATTAGTCGACGTATAAAACAGGGCTAACAGCGTTTATTTACAAAATTATTGGCATGCAGTGTTTATTTACAAACAAAATCAATCTTTAACGTGCCCTCCTATGTTGAAGATTCATTTTGTTTGTAAATAAACACTGCATGTAAATAATAATTTTGTGAAAGGACCTTTGGGAATTGGCTTGCGAATTTCGTACTGTAATTTATGCAAACATCCGAGCATGCATAAAATTAATTTGAAATGCATGAGCAAAGAAATCGAGTTTGAACTAACAAAATGGGAGAAAATCAAGTCCAGGTTTTGAAGATCTCGCGTTGGCGGCCTACGCGTGGACCAAATTTCTTGAAACTTTGATAGCTTGTGTAAGACAGTCCATATTTTGACTCTGTCTGATTAAATTTTGTTTCCGATGGAAAATTTTATCATTGTAGTGCTAGATGTACCAGAGAACGTCAAAGGTCATAAAAGTACATAGGCTTACTGAAAGTTTTCGCAAATGTCGCGCGCGCATCTGACTTTAGTGAACTTTTTCCAACTGTGTACTTTTTTTCTGATACACCTTGAGTGTATATAGAGGAGAAGAAGAGATCACTTTGAAAATTTGTTTGATTTCTAATAATTTAGAGAACGCGCATTCAAGTATAATGAGTTTTGCCAAGCACGCATCTTGCCAAATGAGTTGACGCGAGAGCGCGGAAGAGAGTCTTAATAGGTCGGATAGGGATGAAAGAAAGCTGATGCAGGATTTCGGAGATGTTATGTTTATTAAATGAGGTATAGGGTAATTCTATTCAATTCAGAATTTTAAAGAAATTGCTGACTTTTGGTGGTGCTTTTGTAAAGCATACAGAATGCAAATATCATGTTTTCATATAAACGTTTACCTGTAACATCAGTGGAAGTATTTTATTAAGCCTAAATTGGTATGGACTATGTCATCTGTGCAAGATGCCATCTGTGTAAGAAGCCATCTGCAAAAAGCCATTAGCTTTAATAATTACAATAACTTAGCCATTAACTTTAAACATTAACGATAATTTTATTTTTGTATCATGCTTAGGAGTTAGCTAGGGTGCCAAATCAATAATTTATCCAATGATACCGATAGAACATGTTTATGAAATATCTTGATAAAAAGTCCAGATGAAATTTTGTGGTCTCACTGACACTGGGAGTTGTTAAGACACGAAACAATTAATGTGCGCGTAACACTTTTGTTTTAAACCTAATCCGTAGCTACTAGATCTACTAGTTCATTAATTTTGAACAGCACGTTCGGCATGCATGGCGTCCGTAAAACCACAGTGGTAAAACAAACGGATCCTTTACCGTGTCCAAGCTGAGAACATCTGCAGGTCTTTGCAAGCCAAGTATGCTGTTCTATAAAAGCCAGGCTGAACATTCAACATTTCATTGTGCTCAAAAGTGAACAGTAAAACATTCTGCTAAATACAAACTTGGTGTTGAAGAAGCGTTCGAGAAGCTGAACTCCTGCAAAAGTCATGAAGAATTTCTTGGTCATCTTGCTTATGTTATCTACCATGACCCTGTGCTTGGCGAAGCCGAAATGGATCTGGTTCGATGAGGAAGATAATGGTGGGAATTTCAACGATGAAGTCTTGACAAGAGGAAGAGGAAAGAATGACGAGAATCTGATCAAAGAATGGAAGAAAGCTTATGATCGTTCAGAAAAACAACAAAAAAAAAGGGAGTGCGAGGGAAAATTCTGTGGGTGACACTATATAACTTTAATCTGCTATATATTAACATCGTGTGATAATATATGTGTGCATCAAAGAGTTCTTTTTTGTGAATGTGTTATTTTTTCAATTTTTCTTTGCTCATTCCCAGGTTAAGTACTGGTTCCTCGGCGAGCCTTAAGCGAGCGACCGTTTCTATGCGACTCGCTTTTAAAGGCCTGATTCCACGACGGCGAAATTCTTCGCATGAAATCGTGTGTGCGAAATGCCGAAATATGATGGATGGCTGCACATGAGCGATTCTATTGAATTTGACTCTTTTTTCGCTCTCGCAGTGAGTAGAACGCACTTCTACTCACTGGCGAAGCGAATTTTTTTCTCGCGAAGCCTAATTTATCTTTACTGCGCATGCATGATTTCATTTCGTGCGAAATATTTCGCATTTCGCCGAGAAAAAGCGGTCGTGGAATCAGGCCTTTATAATTTCATTTATCTTCTCTTCGGCTAAAACAGTCGACGTTTTCACCTCTGAATGTCAGCTGCTACTGCGCATATTAACATGCCGTTGCAAAGGCCAGTTTTGACAATCTGACTCGAACTAATTTGTAAAGGAACATGAGGTATCACTACGCAAATTCTTTTCAGAATCCGTTTTCTTAAATTTATTATTATTTAAAGACTAATCTATACTCTAATCTTGACTATACTCGATCTGTGGATAATTTAAATGCAGGTGAATTATCTTCTGAACATGTCTATTAGTCAGCAGCGGTCGTCCCTACTTATGAATGCTGAACCCTATCCATACCTGACTCGAGAGGTACGTTTACACACAGGTTTACACATAAGGATTAATCGGGCCGATTCAGCTTTAATTAATTAAATGATATTTGAAAAATACGCTGTCAACGTATAAGCTGACGGCATCGTCGACTCTCAACATTCGTCATTAGATAGCTTAAGATCTACGACGTCGGCTAGGACGTCAGGGCTAAGCAGAGGACTGGGACTATTAACATTCGGCAAAACCTGAAATTGGCCCGACTAATTGTTGTGTGATTCAATCTATATCCAAATATAGCATGTATTGTGATTGGCAGTGTTGTTAGGAAATAGGCAGCTCTTTCAAGTCAAAGCGCCTTTCACTTTTTTTAAGACACAGTCGACGCGGCTCTTTCTCTTCGACTTTTCAAGGAGAACGTGTTTGTTAACTGTGACGACATGTTCTGCGTTGATCTCCTCCGATAACTACTCCTGCTTTTACCAACGAAAGCGAGCAAAGTTTGCCTGTAGTCGGGTAGACGTAGGGCATATAGAATTGGGTTAGCCGCGAAATTTAGCATGGCGATTGGTGCGTAGTAATAGGAGAGGTACTCCAATATTTTTTCATCTTGGTCAAAGTATCCCAGTCTTGCCAAGAACTCTAGTTGTAGCAATAAGAAATAAGGAAAAGCGGTGAGGAAGAGAATCAGCGTAAGAATGATCACAGTCTTTGCGATATTCTTGTGCTTGGCATTTTGAGGATTTCCACTGATTCGTCCACTTCGAATTATCTCGATCGTAACTTGGATATTCAAAACTATTTGAATGGCAAGTGCAATTTGTAGTACGCCTATACCAGCTGTCCAAATTTTTAAGCTCATTGTTTTTGGCAAATGGAAACGGTAGGTAAGCTCGCTGAGACCCAATAAAAATGCGAAGAGCCAAACTGCCATGCCAACCAATACGATCTTTAGAGTGGTGAACCAATAGCGACTTTTGAACGGAAATTTTGTGATTACGAAAATTTGTACAGAGAGTAATGTCAACCATAAGAACGAAGCGGAAGAACCGAAACCCCAGCCAAAAGAGGTGATCGCATAGTATAACCTGTTTCCAGGGATGAAAAATATTTGTCCCCATAAAAAGAAACTCGACATGCATGAAATAAAGTCAGCGATTGCCAGGTTGAGAATAGTTACCCATGGTCCATTGCGAAGTATTTTCAAAGGATCGATAGCCATAGCAATGATTACAACAAAGTTGAGCAGTGTACCCGTTGCTACCACAGACATAACGACGGTAACGATGTTTCTATACTCTTTGCTATGGAAAAACGATGCCTGTAAGGAAATGATAATATAAGAAATGAAGGTTTAGTCATTTCCTATATTTTGTCCTGATTTTAACTTCGATTTTCTCAGCTAAAACGAACCATATCGCCAAAATAGTTGATAATTTGATCAGTTAGATGCATTTGTCTCATTGATGTGTACGACATAAGTTTATGTCCATGTCCTTAAGATGGCTTCGTACTGTTTGTTTTTTTTTGCAAGAGGAAAATTTACGATTTAGGGCGGAGTTTTTGAACAGTGGTTACTTAAGGACACAGAGTAGATACATATACAGAGTTATAACTAGTGTACCCACTTTTTTTGTGCACATGCTTGGCAAGTTACTAGATGCATGAATTCCCATTGGATGGCGGCTCGCTTTAACTGGCTTGCGGAACTTGCCGAGCACGCGCAGTTGATCATTTTTTGCCCGGTCGCCTGAAAAAAATTGGGTACATGAAAACGTAAGTTTCCGCAGTGTGTTTGCGACGGCCAGTTGTATCTCTGTATGTATCTACTCTGTGTTATGGAAAAGCAAATAGCATCTGAGTTCAGTAGAAAATGCTACCTGAAGAGTATCAAAATTTTAGCAAAAATGACGTCATTGCCGTTGCTATGGTAACAATCACGTTTGAATATGGCCGATGTTTTGCTTTAAAAAAACAACGCTGTATTGCACGGGCAACCCCCCC